GGATTTGACTGATCATTTAAAACACATTTTTGCCTGTTTTGGTCTCCTCCAAAAGCTGCTGTACTCAAGAGAACTGGATTGTGATCCCTGTGGATCTGCATGGTTCAAATGAACACCAATTATGATGTTTACTCACCGCCAGGGGTTTAAGCCACCGTTTTGTCTTAATTATGTTGTGAATTGTGCACTGAAAAAAGCCAGTATCCTATAAAAGACAAGCCTCCTCAGGTAATTCTAAAAACCGTGAATGCCAATTATAAAACAGTTTCCCAGCATGCTTAGCAAAGAAATAATATGCTTGTAAACTCCCTCTGCGACTCCAACTCCAACCCCCCCCCAATTATTCACACACATGCAAGATCAGCTCACGTGATCACAAGAAGATTGCATGATTTGACCTACTTTATGACTTTTTGTCCCTCAATGAGCTCAAGGTTTTTGGAATTTTCCTGCTGCATTTCAAAAATTAAATTTGTATTTGGTGAAAATGTGAGATGAAAACTTGCCAGGACATAATCAGTGGCAATTTGTATGATTGTGGGGTGGGGGACCTCAGCTGTCAGAATTTCGAATTCAGGTAATAAATAATAATGGAGAGGTTGGTTAGAACAGTCACTAAGCATCCTGTTGTTAAATGAAGACTACCTGGACTTTGATGACATTGAAATAGAAATAAGGTCAACTCAAATTCAGTTTTCTTTCACTCCAGCAGCCAGCTGAGGCGAAAGGAGGTTCAAAATGACAAAAACTATAAGCCCCACCCCTTTTTAGTCACAACACAACATTGTATGCCCATCAAAAGGGGCAATGCAAGATGCCTGCCAATGCTGATGACTCAGTCTGACCCACTTCCACCTGGTGTCCAAGCCAAGCTGGGTTTTTAGTGCAGTAAATTATTGCATCCCTGCACTAAACCACTGAAAGGAAAACCTTTTTTAAAATTGTTAGTCTTATTGCAGATGTGAATTTTATCAAGTAAGGTCTGGGTGAATTCTTCATCAGCCAGTTGTGCTGTAAAGGGATACATGGCCTTTACTTGGGTATCGTTCATGGGTGTTCATAAGACATATGGAAAAAGAAATTGCTTCTTGATGGAAGTGGCAGTTTGGGTTATATCCGTAAATTTCTATTTATAGATTTTACAGGTTTGGGGAAGGACAGCAAAAATGGATTTGGAGAATGTATTGCAGTGAATACATCATCTCTTATGTCAAAAATCCATACAACACTAGGTTGCTGTCTGTGAAACTCACTAACAAATTCCAAAATTTGAATTTCAAGAATGGACATTTTTGGAGGCTCTCTGGAAAACCAGGGATATAAGGTAAAGAATGTACATCAAGGAAAATGTTGGTAAATAAAGGCTTCTTGACAGGTGTATCACAGGTTCAATTACAATTGTATGTTAAGGACTACCTGTAGCAGAATCCTAGAACCCTGATTGTGCTCCCTTCTCCTTAATCTTTATGAGAACTAGGGAAGTGAAATATTTTATTGGACTACACCTTTGGTCAAGACTCCAATTTCTCTTATCTAATGGTTGTCTTGATTGTGGCTCTTCCTCCTGTTCCTCAAGATTAAATGTCCTGCCCTTTGTACCTTCACAATCCTTAGCATTAGGTATGTTGGGTGGGGTTGTTAGGTCTTGTTGAGTCTCAGGTTCTCAATTTGAAGGAACTCAGAGCCATATAGTTACTTATCAGAACAGTGGTATAGGGATTCCTTCTTGAGCAGGGAGGTGGACCAAAAGACCTCCCTTCCAACTCTTCTGTTATTCTATTATTCAATTGCTGCAACTCCAGATGAAGAACAGTTATATTATTACATCTTCATCCCCCCCCCCCCTTTACACAAATTAGCCCAAACTCCCATAGGAGAAGCAACACCCTGAATTAAAGAAGAAAAAATACAAGGCTAACAAAATACGCCACTGTTTATGACACATTGAAGAAATATGTTGTTGTTACAACAGCTGAGATGTGTGGTTGCTAATTTTAGCATGGCTTGGATTGAGGAATTTCGAAGTCCACAGAGATAGGGATACTGGCAGATAAATGTTCTATAGCAGGAGCTCCCCTGACAGTTTATTTCTAGATCAGACCTATATCCCTGATAAGTGATATGCCTAGTGCATTTTGCTATGAAGTGATCTGCTTCTGAGAAAGTAGAGGAACTCCTTGATTTACAACAGTTCGCTTAGACATTGTTTGACGGCACTGAAAAAAGTGACTTATGATTTAAATTTTTCACACGACTATTGCAACATCCCCATGGTCACGTGATCAAAATTCAGACACTTGGCAACTGATTCATATTTATGACAGTTGCACTCTCCCAGGGTTATGTGATCACTTTTGCAACCCTCTGACAAGCAAAGTCAATGGGGAAGCCAGATTCACTTAGTGACTGTGTTAGTAACTTTACAACTGCAATGATTCACTTAACAGCTGTGGCAAGAAAGGTTGTAAAATAGGGCAGAATTCACTTAAAAACTGCCTCGCTTAGCAATGAAAATGCTGTGCTCATTTGTGATGGCAAATCAAGGACTATAGGTACAAGGCTGGTGAGGTCAACAAAAGACTTATCAACATTTTTCATCATTCTATTGAATTTCTATGTATATCCGACTATATGGACTGGAGAAGACCCTAGAATTCTCTAAGTAGAGATCTTGCTAGTTGTTGGGTTTACTATTTTTCTGGAATTGTAGGACTAGAAAGGAGGTCTTTCTGAGAGGTCTTCTAGCCTATCCCCCTATTTAAGTAAGGAAGCCTAATATCCTCATCAAATGGCTGTCCTGTTAATTTTTGAAAACTTCCAGTGATGGAGCACCTACAACTTCTGAAGGCAAGCTAGTTCCACTGATTAATTGTTTTCACTGTCAGAAAATTTCTTCTTACTTTTAGGTTGGATCTCTCTTTAAATATCTCTGTTAAGCATCTTATCCGTCTCTAACCAAATCCTTGCATGATCTGCATAGGTTTTCTGTAATGTTGTCAGCATCATAGTATATATTGGTGCATAATGAAAATGCAACCTAACAGTTAAGATGACAAGAGAATTTACTGCTTGCTAACCTTGAAGATAGCTAGTTTGATGTAGTGGCTAATGGCATGAGGCTGGGAATTTGAATCTTGCCTTACATAGGAAACTAGTTGAGTGTCTTTGGGCCAATCACCCTCAGCCGTGAGAAGGAGGCAAAAGATTTTGAAAATCTTTTCAAGAAAACTGCTGAGACTTGTTCATGTAGTCATTAGGAATCTAGACTAACTCAAAGGCAGAGTAAGAGGTAGCTTGTTGTTAAAGTTACCAGATTAGAAACTAGGAGACCATGACATCTTGCCCTACCTTAGGCATAAAGCCAAGCTGGGTGACCTTGAGCCAGTCACTTTCCCTCAGTCCTAGGAAGGAAGCAATGGCAAAGAGCTTCCAGAAAAACTACAAAACAACTGCAAGGACTTGTCCCGGAAGTCATCAAAATCAAGACTGATTGAAGTCACCAAAGACAAAAAAATACCCCTCTTCTCGAAGTTGTATTTGTTGGCTTGCATTTCTTCTGCTTTCCCATCAAAATTCACTTTTGATTCATCCCCCAAATTAATATGCTTTGCTGAAAATTCTTCTTCACCTTCTGCAATCATGTATTTGGCCATCATGTTTACCACACTTATTCATTCTTGGATGATCTCCAAAAGCTAAGCAAGATTGGACATGGATGGGATGCCACCTAAAAATCTCATGCCCATACTTCAATCTCAAATGTTGAAACAAAATTCCTAGGAGAAGATAGCAGTAAACATTTTGTGTATTGTTGGAAATTATGGACATTAGATTTGTCATGTTGGTGTTGTAAGAATTCTGAAGGTCACACAATCTAATCTTGTCTAGCTGTAACCTCATTTTGGTTACATTAATGTCTCTAAATACAGTTTCAGAAAGAAATATTATCCTTATATGTTCCTGCAATATGGAATTTGTTATCTCATGAAAACCTTTGGCTCTATGAGCCTCAGGCAAGACTGAGAGGATAATTTTACATAACCATAAAGAAACTTCACTCATTTTAAGGATTGGATCCAGGATATGAGTTTATTCTCTGTTTTTAAAAGTTTCTATACTCTCAAAATGAGAAAATGGATCGATATGTTTCTTTTAGTTCTAGATTTAATGAAAAGTTTGACTAAACTTTGTTATCTTTCGTTGGTTTAACTTTATTGTATTTATTTCTTTTTTTCTTTTCATTTTTGATTTCCTGGGGGGGGGGAGGTTTAATCAGTACAATTATACATTTTTGTTTTTTAATAGGGACCAGCTGGAGTTTCTCCAGTTGGGAAATCAGTGTCTACTAAATCTATTTCAACTATGTACATGGGATCTTCATTCCAATCCTGATACTAGCATTCATTCAGATACTTGGACATCAATCTTGCAGAATCTCTTTATTTGACCAAAAGAAGCCTCACTTTCCAAAATGGACTTCGCTCCTGCATTTTGCAGTGTCAGCAGAAATTATTTGGGTATGGTAATTATATGTTTGGACCAAAATCCTTTGGCTGGAAAGCAGGTCTTCATTTTGAACCCCAAATTTGTAATTCTCATAGGGCAAAGGCAGTCAGAATTTCTTTCTTTGTTTGTGGCACTCCCTCTCCAAAGAACTAACCAGGCATCAATTGCCACTAGCACTTGTATCATGCACTAAAAGACACATCTGAGACAAGATTAAGCAGGAATGCCATCATCCAAAAATTATAATCTTTTAATAAATGCTTATCCAGAAATTCACCAAGGAAACATATCCAGTATAAACATATCCAGGCTTTGAAAACTTCAGTGAAATGGTGAGTATTGGGTTGTTTTTTTAGTATTTTATAAATGTGTCTTACTAAGTTGCATATATTTACATGAATGATAGCTGGTTGCATGAAACATCACAGCAGGTGCCTGTGCAACTCCTAAGGATAAGCAAAACTTGGTAGAAATTTAATATTCCATGTTTTTTAGGTGAGATTCTCCACATCCTGTGACTTCTTCCATGAATCCCAAAGCAGTCCTGTTGCACTGGGACCCTGGAGGACAACTTTACGTCAACCTAGGCTTCCAGAAGATTCTGAAAAGCAATCTTCATTCAACAAGGTCACTACCCTTCTAACTAAATAGTGCAAATGCAAAACTATAGCCCCTCTCTCCCAACTGAAGATGATGGTGATGATCTTTTGGAAATATGAGACAAGCCTTGAAAAGACAGAGCTGCTAAAATAAATCCAAGCAAGACTATTAAAATTTATAAATTGCTTTGGGCCAGAACTGGATCAAGTATTCTTTGGTTGCTATCCATGGTCCTGAATCTACAAATCTATGTTATTGTAGGCCTCCATAACTGTTCCCTCAGGGCCCTGCTCATGTCCATTGCATCCTTGCAGCCTTCAGTTGTCTTGAAATCTTATTTGTCTGGACCGTTTTCAGCTGGGCCAACAGTGGACAACGTTCCCACATTTCATCCAGTAAACCAAAAGATGCATCTCAACATATTTTTGTCCCATTTTTTAAGGACTGGGAATCCTGGTATGCATTTCCACATCTGTGAACTCCTGGATGTTCTCCGTTCTCTCTGGAGATGTGGTGATGGGAGATATAACATGCTTTAAGCGGAGAAGCATCGTGAACAGAAGAATGAGCAAGATGGCTAGCAGGGTCAGGAACAGCCCCACATACATATACAGGTTAGAATACTTATCTGCAATTGCTGCTTCTGTAGCCAATGTTGGGTGTGGATGAGCACGGCCAGTAAGATTTCCATGGTGTCTGAAAACAAGTTCAGTCATTGCTTACTCAGGCCTTATCCATTCTCCCCCATTCACTCATAAACATGTTGCTGCTTTTTTTACACAGTCCAAGAAAGGGGTCCTTGTTGGATTCATGCATTGGAGTATGAAGTAAATTCTCAAAGATACTATAAATCTTTAAGTTGCATAGGAAAGTTCTTTTCATGGACAGTCATCTTCTCCCAAGGCTTTGCTTACTCTGTAAAATAGAAGATCCAGATCATCACTAACACCACCATCACCATCAATCATTTTTCCTTGAAAGAAAACCACACACCTGAGATTTGCAAGGGCTTTTCAGTCAACAGCATTGCACAACTAATGATATATCCACAGAAGGCTTAGTCAATATCCATAAGCTGGTTTTAATCAGAATCTTTGGTCTTCATTGGAAAAGTAAGCATCAATTAACTTCAGAGTAAGCAACCACAGGGATGCTTTTTTCAACATCTAATTTCAAATCTTTGTACTGTGCTTTATTTCTAAACTGAGCGACATGAGTTAAGGGACATTTCAATTAATGTGGTGGTTCTCCATTTTCCCATTTCTTATGGACCTCTTCACAATTGTTGAGAATTCCAGTTGGCTACTTAATAAACTTCCATTGTTCTAGTTGTAGCTGCTCCTCCTTTCTGCATTAACATCATAAATAAAAAACTGTAAAAATTCTGAGTTTTATGTTAAGGCTTCCTTTGCCTGATGCTCTGAGCCTGTCAATAATCTCAAATGTACTATAAAAATAATACAGAAGTATTGCATGGATAGTGAGATATTGTGAATCATTGGAATGGAGCTAACTGTTTTCCTTCAAAGCTATCCCATTCTGGTATCTTCAGCCATGCCGGGTATGAATTTGGTAGATGGTGTCAAGCTTGTTGTGTGCTGTATTATAGAAGACTCTTGATGGTAAAAGATATAGATTTAGGCCAGGGGGTCTCCAAATTTGGCAACTTTAAGACTTGTGTCCCAAAGATGCTTTTTCAAGAGGTAACTGGACTTTCAACTGAAGAATCTTCTTGGATGAGAAGCGAAACGTCTTCAAAGAAAAACCAGAAAGTCCAGTTGCCTCTTGAAAAAAACACCTTTGGGACATCTATGACCTGGATGACTGAGCGTTTCCATAGACATTTAAGACTTGTTTACTTCAACTCCCAGAATTTCCTAGTCAGCATGATTGGCTGAGGAATTCTGGGAATTGAAGTCCACAAGTCTTAACATTGTCAAGTTTGGAGACTCCTGGTTTAGATAGACAAAAACATCTCTCTCTCAAGGCTAAAGAGACCTATAAAGAAGATTTCTGTTGCTGTCTCTTGGACAATGAAATGTCATGTAATAAAATTTCTCTTGCTATTTCACCAAAGATTTTCCCTTCCCTACGTCTTAAAAGCAGCTTCTGTTTTCCTGTTTTAATTTCAGGGTACCCGAGATTGTCTTTTTCAACTTTTTGTTTTGCTGACTTTTTGATCATGGGACAGAGATAATGAAATAAAGATAGTCCTTGACTTCTAACCATTAGTTTAGTGACCATTTGACAACAGCAGTGAAAAAAAATAACTTACAACTGGTCCTTGCACTAATGACTGTTGCAGCATCCCCACAGTCTCGTAATCAAAATTCATTTATGATGGTTGCAATATCCCGAGGTCATGTGACAGTCATTTAGAACATCTTCCACCCCCCATCTCCAGAGTAAGATCAGCTCCAACTCTCCTTACTTTTCATCAGAGCTTAACCACTTGGCTCTGCCATTTGGCTTGGAGCTCCAACAGAGAGATGTCAGCTTTGGAAGCCATATTAGTTTTATATTGGGGATGGTTGATGGGGGTTGGTTAACAACAGGGCTCACCTTTTCATCATACTTCCTCCTTCCCCATCTTTTTAGTTGGGTTCATTTTTTATAATATTGTTTTTATATCAATTATTAGATTTTATACAGGTTTACCTTTTAATATTGTAAGTCACCCAGAATTAAGGTGTGATAAAATGGGAGACAGATAGACAATGATTTTGTGATATTCCTCACCATGTCACTAGGGGTAACATGAAAGCAGCCTTCTAATATTTGAGGGGCTGCCACAAAGAAGAGGGGGCCAACCTATTTTCTAAAGCACAAAGGGGCAAGACAAGGAACAATGGATGGAAACTAATTAAGGAGAGAAGCAACCTATAACTAAGAAGAAACAGTGAGAACAATTAATCAGTGGAACAGGTTGCCTTCAGAGGTTGTGGGTGCTCCCATCACTGGAGGTTTTCGTGAAGAAGCAACATTTGTTTGAAATAATATAGGATCTCCTGCTTGAGCAGCGGGTTGGACTAGAAGACCTCCAAAGGTTTCTTCCTGTTCTGTTCTAAGCATCTCATAAGCAAAGTCAATGGCGGAAGCTAAATTTGCTTAACAACCATGTGATTTACCTAACAACTGCTATGATTCATTTAATAACCATAACAAAAAAAGGTTGCAAGATTGGACACAACTCACTTAACAACCACCTTGCTTAACAAAGGAAATTCTGGTCCCAATTGTAGTTGTAACTCAGGGACCACCCATAGATGCACATTAATTTTCTTTTTGTTTCCTTTCTTTTCACCTTTTCCAAGCTTAAGTTCTTTCCATCTCATTTCTGCCTCATTTTGCTCAAAAACCAAAACCAAAAACCTCCAGCTTCGTCATGAGTATTTGAAAGAGATGTGGTGGCACAGTAGTTAGAATGCAGTATTGCAGGCTAATTCTTCCAATTGCTCGCAGTTTGATCCTGAGTGGCTCAAGTTTAACTCAGTCTTTCCATCCTTCCGAGGTTGATAAAATGAGGACACAGATTGTTGGGGGCAAGATGCTGACTGTAAACTGCTCAGAAAAGGTTGTCAAGCACTGTGAAGGGGTTTAAATGCTATTGCTACTTGCAGGGCATCCCAATTAGTACCCCTTCTTCCCCAGCCCAAAGCCACTAAAAATAATGTGGCTCCACTCAGCCATGTAAAGGTTGCACTTGTCCTACCTGATTTTGTAACTGCAATATGGACTGTTTGAATGTCCTAAAAAGAGGCTCATGTCTTAAAGGCTACAGCATTTGTTTTATTGCAAAGATTACTTTTGAAAATTAGATGGCCTAATAGGAAGACGGTTCACCTGGAGTTCAAGTGGAGCAATGATTACAAACCAAAAGCCACAGCCTAATAAGTGTCTATTGGACATTTCTAAATTTAAGAAAAGAGATTAAAAGTTGGAAATAATTACAAAGAGGAGAAAATAGCATTTAGCATTTACTTCCTCTTAAAATTTGCAGTCAAATCATCACTTTTAATTTAAGGGAAGAAACAAGACTAAATATATTGAGAATATGCTTATGACTGATGCATCTTTAATAAAATATAGAATAATACAACATAGAATAACAGTTGGAAGGGACCTTGGAGGTCATCTAGTCAACTCTGCATGAGCAGGAGAATCTATACCATTTCAGGCAAATGGTTGTCCAGTCTCTTCTTAAAAACCTCCAGTGAAGAAGCACCCACAACTTCTGAAGGTTAGCTGTTCCACTGATTAATTATTCTAACTGTCAAGAATTTTCTCCTTAGTTCAGGGTTGCTTCTCTCCTTGATTAGTTTCCATTCATTGTTTCTTGTTCTGCCCACTGGTGCTTTGGAAAATAAGTTGATTCTTTCTTTGTGAAAGCCCCTCAAATATTGAAACACTGCTGTCATTTCACTTCAAAGTCATTCTTTTCACTAGACTACACATACCCATAGATAAAAGCTAATCATCTGTATTCTAATGCTCTTTATTATTTGGTGATCTTGTCCATATAATTGTCGTATCCCATGTATAGTTTAGCCTCAGAAAATGACCACTGGCATTCCAGGAAATGCTCACTGCTGGACTTTTCTTAACCTAAAATGCCACCACAGAAGATTGTTGTGAGGATAAAAAGAAACGGAAAAAATCAAGATTATCAATAAAGTTAACTAGAGCTCTTAGATTCCTGGTGTCTTAATAAAGTGCATTGGAGCACACTGGACTTCTGTTCAGATTTTAGGTCAGCAAAGTATTAAATGCCTGAATCTGAAACTCTAAATGACTTTTTTTTTTAATTGCAGAATTTAAAGAGATTTTTATTTCCTGATCCAATTTTCTACTGAAGCTTTCTCCATAAAACTTCAGACATTGAGTGACAAGCATTCCTTTCGGCAAAGAAACTTAATTAAATTCTCTAATTCAAAGTTCCGGATGAGCCCATTTCTTAGGCTTCCCAAAGAGAGTGAACACTAACTTTTCTAAGAAAATTACCCAAGTGTGTGTATGTGTGTGTAGACAGAGAGAGGTTTGTGTAAATTCAAGAATGAGACTAAAAGTGCAAGAGTGAGCAAGCAAAGATGTAGGGCTAAAATTAAAATAGGCTTAGCCATGAACACTCTGATTTTCTCAGAAGAACTTCAGGAAACAGATCAATATGCAATATGATTTCAAGAGGTTTTGAAGACAAAGCCAGCTGCCCCCCTCTCCCCCGCTGCCTGAATTAAAACTTAACATTGCAATCAATTATCTGGTATAACTGGCTTATAACCTTGCCTCCTCCCCAATTCAGGAATCTGGTATTTTAATGCATGCTTTTAATTTAAAAAAAAACTCTCTTGAGAGAGTATTCATTTCTCTTCTTTCCTTGACAGATGAGTCCCTCACTCCCTCTCTTTTACATTCAGAGTTAATACACTGAAAGTCTTTTAAGTAGAGAGAGAAGATTTAAAGTGTAACCAATTTATCTTTCTCGTTGCTGGATGGAACCTGAGAGGGTTTAACCCCTCAAAGACCCTACCTGGGGGCTATTAGAGGTATCTTCTTACGGGTTGTCCTAGAGACACCTCTTGTCCAGATCGAGATTTTTCCTGTTGGGCTATTACACCCAGAAGATTTGACTTTTCAGAGAGAGCACAGTTGAAGTAGGGTTCCCTCTGAATGTTCACGCTTGGCAGCGTGATAAGGCACAAAGGGGTACTGCTTTTCCCTCAACTGTCTCAGTTCTCCAGCTGGATTGCACATTCTCCTTCAGAGGCAAAAGAATGGCGACAAATCCATCTGCCTTGCAGACAGCCGACTGAGAGCTGATTTTACTCACCGGTTTTCTTCTTTCCTCTCTTTAGACAGTGGAGAGAATTGAACAGATTTCTCTCTCTGCACACAGCTCTGTTTCATGAGAGAGGGAGGGAGGGAGGGAGAGGGAGAGAAAGAGAGAGAGATGCCCGTGGCAGCAATAGCAAAGTTTTGACAAGCTTTTCTTTTAACTCTTTCTATGCCCTGGATTCTTTTCTGAACTGAACAACTAGATAAAAAGCCAAGACCGATGCCAGGAGATAAACTAGAACTAATTCTGTTTCTTTTCTAACATTGAGAATCCTCATTGATTGGGGAATTGAAGAAAGCACAGAGACTTGTTGATGTTATCTGCGATAGAAGCTCCAATGGAAATTTTGTCACCTAGTGGAATTCATTCCCAGAAGATGTGGTGAGAGCTATTAATTGGGGTAGATTTAAAAGAAGATGGATTAAATTCCTAGAGGACAGGTCTGTCAAAGGCTATTCA